AACAATACCTTCTACTTACAACAGAAAATACAGGATTTTCCGGATTACATTTTTATATACATTTCCAAAGCAGAAAACACACATGCATTAATCCTTGATTTTGATACATCACTTTCAAACCATTTTACAGAAAATATCGGATTTTCTGGTGTTTTATGAACAATACAAAACTTTTCATCCAAACATGCTTATGAACTCACCAACATTATTTATGTTGACATTTTCAAAATAACTTGTATTCTCAGGGAATCGTTAAGCGGAAAGGTCAACAAGAACATATGGAATATGTCGTATTTTGTTATCATCATACATTGAATATTTTGACATGTAATTTATGATACTATACTTGATGTAAACAATAATGGTTGCATTTTGATATGTATGATGATGGTGTTGTCTTGTTTCAATTATATACCCTATGATGATATACTAAGATGAAGTCACCCAAGCCCCCGAACGTTTCTGCCTTCTAGTTCGGGGGTGTGACATTATTGAACCAATTATTTTTGTTTAGATCAAGCCCAAAACAAAATCAATTTTACTGTTCATCCATTTATTCTTTGATCCCAACGTTTTGATCTATTAAAAATCAATCAGTGATCCAATTCGTAAGCCCAAATCAAGTATGGTTACTGTTCACCTTTAATTCAATTAGCCAAATGTCAAAACAAACGAATTTGTTTATTCACTCTTAAAGTCAAAATTGAAGACAAAGTCAAAGTAGAATTTGTTCGTTCATGTTCTTCTGTGTTCAATGTCGAACATTTCTCAAATCCCAATTCACTCATATCATATCTTAGTATTCTTTGATTAAAAATCGAATAGATGAGTAGAACTTGTGTGAAAACATTGGAGTCGAGTTTAATTGATATCGATTTAGGTTTAATAATCGAAATCGATGATTATGAATTCCAAATTGAAAGTACTTTAACATCAAATGCAAATGTAGTCGTATATTTGAATGTTTGGAGTTAAAGATTTTGGTGTTTGTCAGTATGAAGACACGAAGATCATTGGAATTGTGAAAGCTGTTGTTGCGATGGTATCAATTTGATGATTAGTCTCACAATTCGAACACAACATTTGCAATGATTCGATATCGCACGACTGTTGATCTCGCAGTCGGAGTGTTTGCTTCATAGGTAATAGATGGTTCACATATTTGAAACTATGAAGTCAAAGCAAAGAACTGAAAAAGTCAAAATTAGGTTGCAAACTTTGTTATTCTGTGTACGATCGGAATGAAAGTCATACAATTGGAATGAATGACAGTGCGAAGATAATCAACTTGAAAACAAAAGCAGAACGATGGGTTGATATTTATCGATTGAAATGGAATCGAAACATGGGATCGAATGTTGATTTGGAATGTATCAAAGAATATTATTAGTGATTGCCGTCGATGAATTGAGCAATGGTACTTTGCTATTCTCATTAATAACAAAGTAGATAATCGTGAAGGAAGAAGTGTTGTTCGACTCGATTGTAAAGATTGGGAATTTGATGTTGGTTTGATAGCGAATGGGAAGGCTTAACTGTCTACGAATGTCTAATGTTGAAATCATCAAGCTAGTAACGAAGGCTTAGTATCGAGTTTTGGTGGATGACAACTGACTTCGTTATGGTTAATAGAATGTATGGATGATTTCACAAGTTTCGCTATTTGGCTAATTGTTTTGGAAGTTAAATTCACTTCGTTATGGGATGATTGGATTTAGAGACTTCGCTATGGAGGGTCTATTTGAATGATGGAAAGCGAAGTGACACTTAGAACGATTTCGCTATGTGACATCGAGATCGACATCGAGTTGGTTATGTGATTTCGATTTGGGGTAAAACAAGTTGGCGTCGAACACACCTTCGTTGTATAACTTTCTCTTTGAACTCATCTTAGCGAAGTGGAGAAGAAACAAAAAATGTCAATTCGAATCCCTGAACTTTCAATGAACTGGCGATTTTCACCCACTTTCTAAATAGGGATAAAAATTGTGTTAAATGTAGAATTTTCGTTTCATATCCCTGAAGTTTCAACGAATTGGCAGAAATTACCCAGTTTCAACATTAGGGTAATTTTATGTGACATGGGAAGATTTTTTGAGTTTAGTCCCTGTAGAATTCTGATATTGACAATTTATACCCAAATTTTGAAATTCTTGCAACTCTCACCCAAAAGTCGAAAATTTTCATAAATTTGGAAAATTTTCTTGGCTTTTTCGTGATTTTTTTGTGAAAGTTTTTCGCGGTTTCATTTTTGGCACACATCAAGGGGGAGATTTGACAAGTTTATTCCTCGAGCGTGTCTTGTCCTTTGTGGGTTTTATAATCACTTGTTAATTATAAAAAGGTGAAGAATGGAGAGATGGTATTCGAAGCTTCTCGGGTATTCATTTGCAGATTTGAAGACCGATGTTACTTCGAGGGGGTTGGTCTTGATTGTGCGAGCTCGTTTGGAAACTAAATCCGGGACATCCAATCATAACTTTGAGGGGGAGAATGTTAGGTGCAAAGTTCTCTTTGGATGTGGAGTGTAGGCTTACCCTCTTGTTTGTGTAAATAGGTTGAGTTTTTCCTATAATTAGGAAATGAGTGCCTCCCATTATGTAAGAGACACATTTGGAAAGTTATTTTAGTGAGATAAAGAAAGAACAAACCCACTTGTACTTTTACTATTTTAATAAAGCTTAAACGTGATAATTTACTCCTTGATTTCTTGATTATTGCATGATTCACTAGATCTTTTCAATTCCGCACATATCATCTTAATCAGGATCACTACAGCATGTGAGGTTATTCCAGTCTAATGACTGATTAGACCCATCATGCATGATTATATATATATATATATATATATATATATATATATATATATATATATATATATATATATATATATATGTTGTGTGGTGGTACTTTGGGGGGAACTCACTAAGTTTCATGCTTATAGTTGTTTGTTATGATGATGATCGGGGCACTGCAAATGCGTGATCGTGCACATCCTTCAAATTTATGGTATTAATTTGGATTTTGGGATACTTCGATTACTGATTAACACTTTTTAAACAATGATTTTGTAAACAATTATGGTTATTGGGTTGTTTAAAAAAAAGTAAAATTTACTCTGATTTCTGGATGTTTCAATTTCGATTAACGACGAAAAGTCCAGAACCTGCTCAACATGATCAATATTACATTTCCCGATGAAAGATGTATAAAAACCGACCACGATGGATAATACATGTACGAATTAATGACTCATTTTACTGTTCTACTTAAGTAATGTCTCTATTCGACATCTAACTTAGGAATCAAAACGTTCTCCCGGGACACTATTCCCAGTGAACGTATGACGAATTGTGATGCATTTCAGGTTCGAAACTCCAGTCTTCCCCCGTGTAATCTAAGCTTAACTACTTATCAGAGTTTAGAAAACCTGAGTTGCAATAGTAACATAACTTATATATTCAAGAGGTTGGGCGAATTAGTAAATTAGTATGAGATATGTTAGGCCCAACGTTGCATAATACTTGAAGAACAACTGTTAAAGTTCAAACCATTGGTATAAAATGAATCAAATGATGTTGTGAATTCAATTTAGTTTCTACATACAAGATGATACTAGAGATGTTGTCTTTGGGAGGCTGGTGTGGTAATAACAACATAATGCTTGACATAATCAAAACCATGGATATAAATTCGTATATTTTAGCCATGTCTTTTGGTATATAGTATTATTTATAAGACATGTATATATAGTATTCTTTATAATACGTGTGTCTACAGTTCAACAGTCGAGGGGCAGACTATGAACCTAATCGTTTTTTGGGACTGATCAAAGTTGAAGATTGGGATTTCATCTTTATGCTTAAAGTTGGTTCTTCTATATGTTCTTTGATGTTAGATATTCTATTGTCAGATTCCGATATCACAACTTTAGTTTTTCCGAGATATCTCAACACCAAACCTGCCTGTCAGATGTTCGACCTTTTATCACTACTTATTACCCTCATTATTTCCGAGCATTTAGGAGGGAGATTGTTGGAGCAGTAAATTTTTTACAATGTTGAGTGGTTTATTAGGTTATAATATTTTCTTGTACGAAAAACATATTATCTCCATTAGTATATAAAGTGGAGGTGTTTGATCATTTGTATGTATGCATCGTGTAGACCTTAGTTTAGAAAGAGTTTGGTTGGGAAACTCTTATTAGCTATATGAGTTGTTCATGTAATACTTGATATATCTTTATCTATCCATCATCAGTTTACCTACTTGTTTATCACATCCATACATAATTATCTCCATGATTATTATTATTCCGCACCAAATCAATGGTAAAATAGGTTCAATAAATTTGGCTTATACCATAACAAAAAAAACTAATATTTCAATAAGTTGTTTGAAAACTCAATCTCAAATATCCCTTTGACTTTGTAAAATGATCAACTTATCATATTCTTACAAAATGTATAATATATGTCATTTTTACATTTATCAGGAAACAGATGACAAAGTCACATTCTTACAACTAAAATCATTAAAATTATAGTATCAAGGACGGTCTAGACGGTGGCCAATCCGGGCGACCCCTCAGGACCCAAGTTTTATGGGTTATATAATGTATATATATAAAAAATTATTTTCTAAATGATTATTAGAACCTAAAGTTGGTTCAATTTCAATTTAGTTCAAAAAATAAAGAATTTGGATTGCTTGTTATTGCTAATTGAACATGTCGATAATAAAGAGTAAATGATATTTTTTGAATCTTTATTATATTTGTCTTCGATAGATTATTTTTCTTTTTGCCCCGAATTCCATATACATTTAGACCGCCCTGCATATTATACACAAACTACAATTTTCCCATCTCCTTAAATTTTTAGTAACCATTTATAATTCTTTACATAAATTTGCCCTCCCCAAAAATTTTATTTAATTTTACAGATTTTATCATTTTATCATTTTATAGTTTAGCTAACTATATACAATGTCCCTCTTTTTTATGAAGAATTACCACGGTCCACAAGCCGTTTAAGTTGAGGCAAAATAACCGACCCGAGATCCGGCCTACCCTTCTTCCTCATATCACAACACTGCAAACCAAGTTTCGCTAAACACAACGTCTCCTCAACCGGCCAATCAGCCACCGCCGGATCAACAACATCTACAAACTTCCCTTCTTTAATCGCCTTCGAAACCTGGTGAGTCAACCCCATCGGACTCTTCGCAGTAATCACCTGTAACAAAATCACCCCAAACGAATAAATATCCGACTTGGTCCCTAATATCCCCGTCTGTTGATACTCCGGATCAATATAACAAAATGTCCCCGCCGCCGCCGTCATGTGGTGGTACTGGGCGCCATCGTCCGCCACTTCCGGCGGAACCAGTCTCGCTAACCCTACATCGCTGATTTTACTCACAAAGTTCCGATCTAACAGAATGTTTCCTGGTTTTAGGTCACGGTGGACTAGCGGTTGGGGTCGGGTTTGGTGGAGGAAGTGAAGGGCGGCGGCGATTTCGAAACAGATTTTGAAACGGAGACTCCATGGGAGGACTGGGGTGTTGTTTTTTCTGAAGAGTCGGTCTTCTAAGCTTCCGTTTTCCATGTATTCGTAGATGAGACAGCCGTATTCAGGGCATGCGCCCATGAGGAGAACCATGTGAGGGTGTCGTATACAGGTTAAGACCTCGACTTCTTTTTGGAATTGACTTTCGCCTTGTGAGATGTCTGGACGTAAGACTTTAATGGCGACGAAGATGTGATCGAGATTGCCTCTGAAAACAGGTCCGTATCCTCCTTCACCGATTTTTACGGTATTTGAGAAGTAGTCTGTGGCGATTTCTATGTCTTCAATTGTGTATTTTCTGTACTGAGTGTTGGATTTGGTTGGAGTGATAATGAGTTTTTTTCTTTCTGATGCTTCGTGTTCGGCTTTGAGTTCTGCCTTTCTTCTTTTATGAGCTTCGAGTTCTGCTAGAAGTTGAGCTTTTTGTGCTGCTTCAATGGCGGATTTGCTCTTCTGTTTCTCCACCTCCAACATAGCTCTTGCAGCTTCTGCTGCCTCAGGTGGCATCTGTTGATAAATCTCGGTTTCCTGAAAGGAACCATGAAGAAGTTAACAAAAACCTGCAATGTATAAACCGATATATGAAAGTAGGTTATTCTTTTTTGCATTTAAACCCTGTAATTAAACCTACCTTTGGTTTAGCATTTGTTGCTTCTTTGCAAAGCGAGTGATACATATCCATCGATTTCTTCAGTTCAAGTTTTATCCTCCAGGTTTCATCGTCTGGATCATCCTGCATTTAACAACTATTTTGTAATTTGTATAAATAAATAATAAATAATACTCCATAAAACATTGCATTTGATTCACTGATATAATTGTATAACAACTGAACTCACTGTATTTTGAGAAGAGATGTAGACATTTGATGTGCGCGATTTGTCTAAAATCTTGCAAGACGATTTGGCATTGAAATCATGGAGCTCTCTTGGCACAGTAGTCCTACTTGCTAACAAAGTGTCTCTAGGAGCATCAGCCATGGCTGTAAAATCATCATGACCCACTCGTCTTGCAATGCTTCTTGCAAGTGGTGTTCTCCCAAAGCCAATGGTTCCATTTATAGAATTGGATTTGGATTTGCTCCATCTGACAAAATCCACTTAGACCCATTTGTTATGCATGATACGACAAGTGATATATTGTGTTTGATGAGTATTAAACTGAGACATTGTTATTCCTTGTCTTTTTATTTTCAATATAGTCTTTGTATCAACAAAGACCGTTTTTTACTTAATAAGAGGAAATGACCGTTTTACCCTTTGTGTTTGCATTAAGAATAAATTTCCTTACATACTGTCTGCATAAAGTATTGTCACTAAGAGAAGGTTTTTGGTTAAAATAGGACAAGAAACCGAAAAATGCTCACATGTTTGAGATTTTAACAGGTAAAAAAGTAATCTAACAGTAAAAACAAAATAGGATGGCTATTTCTAAAATATGATCAAAATACAATTTCTATAATTTTATTTTAATCTTATATCATCTTACTAATCTTACTTTATTTTCTATATTTTCTCACAGAGGAACTTATTATACTGTACTTTCTCGATAGGTATGATCTTGTTGTCCTTTCTCCGTAAGCATTATCATATTGTAATTTCTCCATTGGTATTATCTAGTTGTAACTATTTTCAATGTCTATGAGGATACAATACACTGGTAGTGTATTGTATTCTAAGTATGATCATATGTATTATCTTACCGTGATCTCCCTACATCATTGTAATATCCTAATCTTAAATATAAATGATCCTAATCTTAAATATAAATGTTTCTCTTTAATTAACAGGGAAATCTCCAGAAAAACCCAAATATTTTATCAAAATTTACAAAAAAGTCCAAAACTAATTCTTTTACGAAAAAGTATGAATTACTGGTAAAAATGACGATTTGATTCATTTTTCCAGGTTTACCTTTTCATAATTTATATGGTTCTATTAAAATCCCATTTTTACCCTAATTTATTAGTAAATCTCGAACTAAAATTTAGTGATGATTTGATTATTTTCTTTCTGTACATACATTTTGCCGGTTTAATTGCTGACCCGGACGACTAATCACGAGCCGATGAAATATATATATATATATATATATATATATATATATATATATATATATATATATATTGAGCATCAGTGCTACCGGTTGATCTAAAACCAATTGGTGTTAGAAATGGCGCAACTTTACCCATATAGCGCATTCAGCCCTCTAGGACCAGGCATTCGATTGCGGCACTCCAGGCCATCGTGCTAGGACTTGGTCGATGTCATTTCTGACCCCCAACAACCCCCCCTCAGAAATTGCTCCCTGAGAGAATCGAACACTCGCTACTGGCTCTGATACCACTTGTTGAGCATCAGCGCTACTGGTTGATCTAAAACTAATTGATGTTAGAAATGGTGCAACCTTACCCGTATAGCGCGTCAACCCTTTAGGACCAAGCATTTGATTGCGACACTCCAGGCCATCGTGCGAGAACTTGCTCGATGCCATTTTTGACCCCCAACAATATATATATATATATATATATATATATATATATATATATATATATATATATATATATATACCGGGTTATATAATATTATGTTTACCATAAACTTGATATCTTGATATATTGTATATTTTTTGGAATATAAAATGCATCTAACGAAGACTACAATAATTAAATAAACTAGCAACAACTTCGTCTTTTTTTACATTTCTAAGAAATTTCAAATTGTTTATCTATCTTATGTAACTCAAAATATTCATCTCATCATACATCAACTTATTTCATACATTTTTTTCCTGAAAAAATTTACCGGTTTCATTACCGACCTAGATACATAATTATAAATGAGCCGATAAGATAGATATCAAATTTTACAATAAATATAGCATCATATAACCCATCATATCTATCTTATCAACTAATCTAATGACTAGGTGTCCAAGTCAGCAAATAAACCGGTAAATCAATCCATCTGACAGCTAACATAACATAATATATTTGTTTTTTATATAAATTTAAACTCTTAGGCGAGTGAGTAAAGCGGTTGAATAAGAGTATTATTGGTATTTTATCTAGCAAAATCGATCAACAATCACATCCATCGTTATGTTGATAACTGTACCAATATTTTCACTACACTATTCTATCACCCGTACACGGCAAACTCTGTTGCTCACCGAAGATAAGTTCTAGATAAGATAATCGACACAGACATTGATATACTCGAATATCATAAAGGTAAAAACTTGTTCTGTAATAGCATCTACACACTTAACGCTCACCGTAAATGTTAATCAGAAGAACATCCACAAAGCTTATTGATTGTTAATAAAAGCACTTGATTTACTTTAATATCATAATGGTAAAAACCCTAATTAATTTTCTAAATGATTATCCATACCGTAATAGAGATTAGTATCGGTGGATATTGTTTATAATTGATTCCATATTCATTAATGAACATATGTACATGAACATTTTGGTATTTACATCTCATTTTGTATTTTGTTCTTTGACTACTTGTTTTATATATATATATATATATATATATATATATATATATATATATATATATATATATATATATATATATATATATATATATATATAACAAGTAGTCAAAGAACAAAATACAAAATGAGATGTAAATACCAAAATGTTATATATATAATATATATATATATATATATATATATATATATATATATATATATAATATATATGAGAAAACTAGGATTAGTGTTTTTTATATGTTCATTCATTTATGAACATACATACATGAGCATTTTGGTATTCACATCTCATTTTGTATTTTTCTCTTTGTCTATTTGTTTCTTTAATATTTACAGTTACTAGTATGTTATATATATATATATATATATATATATATATATATATATATATATATATATATATATATATATATATACGGAAAAGTGAATATACCCTTAAGGGTATATACGCTTAGGTACCCAAACCCATTATGGTTAGTTGTTTTGTTTGATATATTCATTATAATGTTATTAAATTTCAACATTAACTTGATTTACTTTGAAGATTTTCGAAATTTCACTATTGTTTTCCTCTTATATTATATCTTTTTGCCGAACACCTATTCGGTTATATATATTAGAGTTGAAAATGAAAATTATGTAAGAGGAAGATAAATATGAAATTTATAAAAATCTTAGAAGTAAATTAAGTTAGAAGTTGAATTATAATAACATTGAATAATTACAATGTATACATATGATACAAACAACATAGTATGATGATTTTGAGTATCTAAGCTTATATATCCTTAAGGGTATATTCACTTTTCCATATATATATATATATATATATATATATATATATATATATATATATATATATATATATATATATATATATATATATATATATATATATAATTGTTTAATGTTCTTATAATTCTAGTTCTAACTTGTTTTCATTCAAAGATTTTTATAAATTTCACATTTATTTTCCTCTTACATAATTTTCATTTTCAACTATAATATATATAGTCTAATTGATTTTCGTCAAAAAGATGTGATGTAAGAGGAAGATAATAATGAAATTTTGAAAATCTTGAAAGTAAATCAAGTTAAGGATTGAAGTTGAAGAACATTATAATAAATATATCAAACAAAATGACGTATTATGGTGAGTTTGGGTACCTAAGTTTATATACCCTTAAGGGTATATTCAGTTTTCTCATATATGATACAAAACGACGTAGTATGGTGAGTTTGGGTACCTAAGCTTATATACCCTTAAGGGTATATTCACTTTCTCTCTCTCTCTCTCTCTCTCTCTCTCTCTCTCTATATATATATATATATATATATATATATATATATATATATATATATATATATATATATATATCCACTGATTTAAATTAGATTAACATATATTACAGAAACAATATTCAATTGGTATTGTTTATGATCTAATTAAACAATATTTATAATTAATAATCAGACCATTTATGATAGTTACATAACTTGAAGTAACCCTGGAATATGGAATCAATTTATGATATTTTTCATCCTCTAACTTACAAAATATATGCATTTAGTATCAGTGTTGTAGTTTCATTTAGAAATTGAAATAGATGTTATACCAATGAGTAAAAAGAGATAATATGTAAAGACTCAAAAGTAGTAGTCACCACCTATTTCTTTTCTGGTATATATGGTATTTAGCATCCTGCGAGTAAGCTACAACAAAATAATTTTAAGCCCTATGGCTTAGGTTTTGTGAATACATATTTATTATGGTGTCATATGAACGATGAACTATCCTTTCTCTCACCAAACACCAAACATGATTTTTTTTTTTTCTTTTTAGTCTTTCTCAATAATTATGCTTCTAAGCTACACTTTGGTGAATCTCTTTTCATTAAATTAACCATTGCTTACAAAAACTTGTACTGTTCAAACAAAATTCAAACACATTGACTAATGAATAATCTTGTAATTTAACAAACTATTACACTAATCCAGAGCAACGAAGACAAGGGCTTCACAAGCGTTAATATATAAATGGAAAAGCAAACGAAGATTTTTCGGATGATAATTTAATTTTCATACCCTAACGGAATGTATGTATTTTTTATTTATATATTTATGTATATGCACATATGTTTAATTTTTAACAACTATGCTAACACTTTTTTTTTTATTATTAATTGTACTACTACAACTTAAATGTTCATCAAAGAATAAAAAACATGGTAAAATATGTGTTAAATTAGTGGATGTAATCAAGCTAAAACAACATTGAGCTTGAAGGTTCAGAAGACATTATTGATTATATAAAAGTTAGGGCCAACCCAAAACAATTTTTTCTATATATCAAAGTTTGAATGTTGAATAAAAAGTTGTTGTGAGGGGTATGGGTCTTGGTTCATTAATTGAATTGGAGAATGATGATGTCTCGTGCATTATGATACTATTTTGTTGATCATTTTGATCCAACAAGATGGTTACATCTATGTCACGGCTGATAAAGTGCATGAGATGATTGGGTTGCGTAATGGAGGTCAAGATATTTATGTTATTCAAATTTGCTCACGAAAACACCTAGTTTATCTACATTGGATAAGTGAATTAAAAAAAAAAATGCTTACCCTTGACATTAATGATTACATCATCAATTATCAAGAGGCCGACATAATGTTCAAGATAAATTTGTTTTGCTATTTGTGAATGCATTTTGTGAGACCTATCTAGGTGGCATTTGCAAAACCACCATCATTCCTTACATTTTAAAGAAAGTAGATATTTCGGTATCTAAATGGTTGCAACACCAGCCGGAAAAAGGACGACTCAATCTGTTGATTAATCGGTCCCATCACCATTTTAACGGTGTTATATTTTTAATATTTTTATTATATATTTGTTTATTACATCATTGATACATTACACGCATTTATAGTAATTTGTATTAATATACATTGCAGCTTGTTTATCTTTATTATACGGACTTTCTCAAGTTTACACTCCCTCGTAAGTGTCTTACAATATCATCATGGAATGTCAAAAACATATGTTTGCATGAGGGTTAGGAAATTTCTGCAGGGGAATTTGGTAGATGCGCGGTTGTTTTAGAACCCAAACCGCGTGAGGTATTATCTTATTTTATTAGACGTTTTATGTTTAAGGTCGGTCCTGAAAAATGAAATATTCTTAAAGGCCCAGGACGAACAAGAAAAAAAGGATCCTTATCTTTATTATAATTTTGTATTTCTAAATAAAAATATATAATGAAAAAAATTGGGCCCTGTGCAGCTGCCCACTTTGCCCCCCCCCCCCCCCCCCCCCCCCCTCTAAGCCCCCATGTGTTTAATATATGTTTTATGCTTACTAAGGTTTATTTGATGTTCATTTATAAACATACATATTTGTTCTTGTGCTAATAACTTGTTTTTATCCAGAATATTATGTTAGATCTTACGGATAGGTTTCAAAAGTTAAAAAAAGAATAGGTACGAATTGATGACTTGTCTTTTGAAAATAATTGAAGAAGACCTAAAGAATGATTAATTAATATCATTGATCAAGGATTTTGAAGTTGGATTTCAAGTAAAAGTACATGAAAGTCAAAGGAAGAGCATGATCAAAGCATGCTTCAACCGCAATGCATGTGGAAAAAAAGATTATATCACAGATACATTTTTACAAACTCTGGTTATTGAATCGCAAACAATTATAAACAATGATTGAAAAATATGGGATCTCATCATTTGAACTTGGTATTACCCAAGTTATTATAGAGGCACAAAAGTTGAAGAAGAAAACTTAAGTAATGTGGAGGGTCATCAAGCATAAAAGATGACATCTTTATATTATTATTCATCAAGATTGTTATTAAGAGAAATTCCAAAAAAAAATCAGTTCTTTGATCATCGTTTTTATCAATGCATATTTATTAATGACAATAGATGAGGAGGAAAAGGTCTCCAATCGTTTGTGCATATGCACTCTCTCTT